TAGCTCGAAGCGGTAGACGTGTCTTATGTTTAGAATGATCGCAATATGAGATTTGTTTATCTGATTTCGAAAGGTAGTTTTGAACAACGCTATATTGTAGATGCCAGGCACCGCACCTTTGCATGATTACCGTGACGATGGCTTAAAAATTAAGCATAAGTTCAATTTTGCTACTACCTGTTTATGTTTTCTAGCGTATGTTCGCACGACGCACAAAAGAGTATTCGTTAAAGTTACATCTCCGGAAATGTACTTAAATGAAAGAAAACAAGGCGTAGTAAAGGAGGTCAGTTTAAAAGTTGACGTAACCTACGACCAGTTCTGAAACTAATGCATTACTAATAGAACAGAGCAGGCGTTTTAAAGCGGGTTGTTTTTGTTAGTTGTTCACTAAAGATATTTTCTGTGCAGTGCCAAGAATGTGGCTTCACTTATTTCCCTGAAACGAGGAAGTCATTACACCAAGGCTTAGGTTAGGTTATCAGTGCTGACTTCAGTGAGAGCACTTAGTTCGATTTTGAGACTGAATTATTTATTTCACTAGGAACTCTAGTAAGAAATTTTACTAGCATAACCTAGTTATCCAACAGTTTTCTCAGATGTTGCCAATCGTATTCAAAAAATTGTTAAGCATTATTTAACATTATCTAGCGCCATGTGATGGTCAACATGAAGACTAAAGATGACCACGAATTTAAACAAGGCCGAGTTGACAAATGGAAGTCAGTAAATAGATAACATGCTGATGCCCGATGCAGAAGACGGACCCAGTTTCCAGACGTAAGGGTCCCTATGGGCATTACTACGATAGGTCATAGATCATAATGGAACGGATCTTGAGCTGGCGAGAAAGTGATTCTCGTACTTCCATTCCTAAACTTTATTCTCATAGGCCAACTATCAGCAGGTTCATGGTACGTTTTCACCTTTAAGGAATGTTTTTTGTCTTAGATTATCCTGCATGCCGTAACATAATTGAAGTCTTTGACAGACACCCACGGTATGGACGAAAAAAATGCTTAGAGGAGCATTCATACCCGTACTTAATCTTTGAAAACTTTTCTTCGACATTGGTGATCGTGTTTATCCGATCTCCGTTAATATTCAATCTTTTGACAGAATTGACCCTACCATAAAAATCGTGGTGTCATGTCTGGGGTGTGTTAGCATGCAGATAGTTTCTGGAAGACCAAACAGAATAGTGTACTGCACTATCCCCTTGCTCAGAGTAGCGTAGGGCGCCATTTAAGCAGGCGACAATGCTGAGGTATTTTTGCATCTGCGTTGTTAGCTACAGTCATATTATGGAGATATACCATTGCGTTGTGATCTGCTTAAATGACGCTCTAGGAAACTAGGAGCAAAGTGACAAGATAACGATACTATGCGCCATAAAATATGGTCTTGGAAAATTTATTCCTTAATTGACCATTTCAATAGATTAAATGAATTTTCCAGCTCGTATCCTGTTTATCTTATTTTTTTGTTACGAACGGTCTGTCTTTTATTTATTTCTGTAGATGACTCTTCTTGTCCCTGATCGGTTGGTTTGTATAAGCGGCAGTATGTGAAAAAAATAATTCATATACCGGTACGCATTATTGCGCATATTACGAATTACATATAATTGCATATATTACTGTTAGAATGCGATTAATATGTAGTTGAACTTCTGTGGAGCTATTCTCACCTCCTTTTCGTTTTTCAGGTGCTGAACAAGGATGAGGATCCAAACTGGTTCCGGGCAGAACTCGATGG